TTTTTTAATCTGATTTTCATTTTCCCATGTTTGGAGCATCCCTTACTGCTCATGACCTGCTGCATATCATCCAGATAAAAACAGTAATTGCGCAGAGATATAGGCATTTCACACAGTAATGTCTTAATCAAACAAATGACTACATTCTGAAGAAGTTTGATTTTTTTTTTCTGAAGCGCACTCTATTTCTAGCCTTGCAGGCTTTATGCCAGTTGCCGATGCAGAAGACGGCCCATATGAATCTCTCCCTTCTTTCCCTTCTCTTCTGTCCCTTTGCCTAGCCTCAGCCCTCTCTCTGCCCTTCCCTACTTCTTCATCGTTTGAGCAGAGACTCTATTTCTGCTCTCGCAGGCTCCACGCCAAGCCCTAGGATAGAAATAGCTGGCGCGGAGTCTACAAAGCATTTCTTCCTTCCCGCCTCTGACTGATTCCCATCTTTCATTTCCCTTGTCCTGCTCCCTCGTGCTTCTCGCCAACAGCTTTTGTGCCATGCCTTTCTGCCCGGCTCCAAAAGGGGTCCCCAAACCAGCCCCTGCTTCTTGGCAATAGCAGCAGCCTGGCCTCAGGGCAGGGGATTTGAAGAGGCCAAGTAGCTCAGGTGGGTTTGAGGATGTGCTAATGAGCAGCACATGTTACGGGTGAGTGTCCATATTTACAGGGGCTTCGAAGCGAGAAAAAACTGAGAGGAAAGATGGGGCAGGAAAAAAAAAAAAGAAATCCAGGGACAGACACTCTGTCTCTTCTTCTACAGGAGGTTCGCTTTCTGTGCGGTGGGGGATATTTATATTGTAATTTTAATTGCGTGGAAGCCCTGTGATGCTTGGCCAGTGTGAGCTGTCTTGCGGTGCGGGGTCGTAATGGCTGGTGCTAGTGGTGACCTGCTCCCTCCGGGCAGGCTGTGGCTCTGGGGGGGCTTCTCCCCGTGCTGGTGGCTGGTGTTCCCGTGGGATGTTTTCTTACTGTAAAAGGGTTTTCTGAACGGTTGGAATACGTGATTTGGCAGTGGCGAGGGGGAGGCGCCTGCTCAGCAGCCCCCTGTTAGAGGTGAGTGGCCGCTTTGCTGAGGGACGTGGCACTGAGAGAAACTCGGACACGCAGGTGGGAGAGGAGCGGGGGCCGGCGGGCGGGCGGACGGGCAGTGACGTGAGGCCTCTGTGCAGCAGCGGGTGCGTTAGTGACTTCGGCCTCCTTCAACGAGCTTATCCCGCTCTGGAGTAAAGGACACGAAGCATGGGCCGACGTCAGAACGCCGCTGAGGGACCCGTTTTCCTTTCGTCTCCAGCTCGGAAGAGGCACGTCGGCAGTCACGGGGCCTGCCGCCTTCAGGGACGAGGCAGCGGGGGAGCGCTGAGGCCGGGTGGGAGAAGGGCCCGGCAGCGCGCTGGCAGGGAGGGGGTCGTCGTCCGCAGCCGAGCTAAGCCCCGGGGACCCGTCTCTGCTCTTCTCCAGGCTTTGCCGGAGAGGCTGCCGAAGGCGGACGTCTCCCCGCGTTACGGGGCGCATTTGGCCTCCCTTCAGGCCCAGTGGGACGCCGGGCGGCTTCGTTCCTGATCAGCCCGGTCAGACGCTTGACGGCCCCCCCGCCGCGAAGCCAAGCGCGGGGCCGTGCCCCAGCTCCGGTGGGTGAAGGCCGAGGCCTCCCTTCCCCGTGCCCACAGCAGGACCTGCGGCAGGGAGGCGGGAGGCCTCGCCTCGGGGCTTTTCCCCGCGGGGCCCAGAAGAGGTACATCTGGAGGAGACGGCCAGCCATGGCTCCCCGCGGCTCG